ACCCCCCCACACACACACTCGGAAATGATTTTTTAAATAATCGATGGGTCAGTTAGCACGTTTTAAACCAGCTGTCAGCAAGCAAAATAATTCCAAAGGAAAGAGAAGTCTTAATAACCAGACAGAAAGAGTGGTTTAAAAAAGAACAGAAACAAGAATATATAGTATCAAGAACAAGTCCCAGCGGTATACTGTTGGACGCAATAAATGTACTCTACTCTGAAATTAGTTTGGGTAACGTGAAGCTCATATGCACAAAAATGGTATTTTTGCTAGGAATTTAAAAAAGCTCGGGAAACAGAAACAGCAGCAAGAGAGTAGAGAAGACAGATCCAGTAGAGGCACCAACCAAATACCTGCATTCAGATTATGCTAAACGGACAACTCACTACCACGTGAGTACAAAGTTCTATCTGACATTTTCGGCCGTTTTCGGTCAGAAATCAAATGTTCTATCTGTTATATCAAAATTGTAAGATTATCGTAAGATTATTCGGAGTCGTTATCAAGATATTCAAAGAATTGCACTAATTTGAAAAAGCCTTACATGATATAAAACTGAAAATCTTTGACGTCTAATTTCTCATAACTAGATACTGAGCAGATAAAACTAGGTAGTTCAAAGGTAGTAAACTGTGAACAGAATCCAAATCGTAAACTTGAAAATCACGTTCCCATTCGATAAGCTAAATGTATCACGAAAGATTTGAAACTGATGCTCGTCATTATGAAGTTATAGGAACCATCTTCAACTTCATCCAAATGTCTTGATTACGTTGAAACAAAAATAACATTCTATATTTGAATAGAACTCAACATATTTGCAGTTGAATGAGATGGGGGGTCGTCTGGTGTTAGATGTACAATTGGCGAGAAAATGGCCGTCACAGTTTAGTGACTTTCAAAGCTTGAGTGCCCTTGAAAACTGAAAATTAACATTCTTTGTGACTTTCATTAAAGTTTTTCAGTAAAATTCACACAGAGATGTGTTTTTAAATAGACATATTAAGTAAAGTAAAGTAAAGTTGTTCCCGCATCCGATCCGGACATTGAGGATTGCCTTGTTATTGAGACAACTTCATGGGCCTTCGGCATAATATTGTGGTAGGGTGGCCAGTTCCTTTCCACGCAGCCTTTACTTCCGTTAACTCGAAGTCAGGTACCTATTACTGCTGGGTGGGCAGGAGGGAGCGAAAAAAATCCGTGTCCGAACCGAGGCTCGAACCCGAACTTTCCGCTTCGGAGACGGGTGCACTAACAACTCCGCCACCACACCTTCATAGACATATTAGGGCTTCAAGTTAAAAGAAATGAGTAACTTATATTTCCCATCGGGCGGAAACATGTCGATTTCTTCGATTTTGTTATTTCGACGTGTGCCTGATTTCACCACGAGACAACACAACATATTACACAGACAGCAAGGCACTGGGTGTAGAAATTGTCATTTACAAAACAGAAACAGAAACTGAACACAAAGAAGCATTGATCTGAGACACAAAGGAAGGAAAGAAAAGATGTTAGACCTTCTATTACTGTCCCGCTAAGGCATGCTCCAGACTGATTATTTCGTTAGAATAACATCTTTTATAACAGACAAAAAGGACTCTGAATAGTAGCTGAAAAACCCCGCCACCTCCCTTAACAAGAAAGAAAAAAACCTAACAGCAAACAAACAAACAAACAAACAAACAAAACAACAACTCCCGCCCCACCCACAAAACGCCACAAGGTGGAAGAAATCAGTAACAACATGTCATTGTGTAGTCTCATAATTAGAGCTGTTTGATCTACTGCACAACTTCCAGATTCCCCGTTGGGGGAGTCACAGTGGAGTTGCAGCAACATCAGATAAAAACAGGAAACAGTGGGTTCTGATCTCCCTGATGCGGGAAGACATAAGGGGCTACACTTTACCTCTACCGAGTTTTTCGACCCCTCCCCCCTTTCTCCCTTCTCCCTTCTCCAAGCTAACGAAGGGTGTACAAATAGAAACAAAATAAGCAGACAGAGTTCGGGATGTTGGGATGGATCCTGAAAAGGAAGGGGGGTGGGGTGGTGGGGGAGAGTAGAGATGGACATGTTCCGACTATTGTGACCCCAACACTATGGACAAGGCGTGACAAGGTGTGACACGTACAAATCAAAAAGCAATAGCTACTCAGAAGTGGAAACCTACCTGACAACCACCCCGCTCTCCCCAGCTTTCCGCCTGGTTAACACTCCGGACATAGTGACCTTGACCCTGATACGCCATATAGGTCACTTGCACGGTCGAAGAGTCACGACCTAGGAAAAGAAATAGAAAATATGAAAACAACGACTATTATATGATATAAATATGAATACGTGTCTTGATTAATTTTGGTCAACCCCTTGGCTTGAAAATCGGGTCGTTTTATGGAGTCTCCAAGGCTGCTCTCAACTCATTTGATTCGGTTTTAACGGAGACTTACGGAGAAGGACGTTAATTTCGGAGGTTCTACCTCTTAAATAACGTTACAGGGTTAATGGGGGCGTTAAACCCATACATTTTCTTTACTTACAGACAAGCATAGTTTATTCAATTTGAGACTTAAAAAGACACCAACGAAACAAACGCACTATAACTCACGGAAGGTCACGAAGTTAAACATTGATCTTGCTCTGAAAACAACATTGTTCACTTTTGTTTTCTTTTTAAAAACACTCAAACTCAAAACCTCGTAATTGCAAAAATCGAAAAAAAAAAAAATAACGTTCATAGTCAATGAGTGAGGCAAAAATGGCAGTATTTGTGTTTAAAACCTTCGAGCAATGTATTTCGAGTCCTAGCAGCGTTGCTTTCATCAGCACTCTTAAAACGGATTATTTTTTTCACTTTGGAAGCAAACATGAGTGGTTGGTTGGCGGGCACTCTGGTGTGGTTTACTCCTTATTTCTTATCAAACCACTGCCATCCTTATCTCCCCCCATTTCTCTTAGTATGTTTCTCTTTTGTAACACCTCTAATCTCCAGCATTCACAATTTGACCAGCTAGTGTTGCATGTTCTGTAAAACTCTTACTAACCCACAAAAAAAAAACCAACAAAAATTTCAAACATGACATTTTGGTATATGCCGCCTTTCTTCATAAGATGGGAGCCCTCGAACATAAAGCTGGTAGGAAAAGTATTGATGGCATTTTGGCCTCCATCCAACATGGAGCACCCTCGCGTTCCGCTACAACATACGACTATGAACCTGTCGATAATAAAGGAAAGAGGCAACAGCTGTGCAATAAGTTCCTGATCTTATAACACCACTCACAATTCTAACTCCTCGATCAACTCCCCAACCATCCCCTCCCCCACCTTACCTTTTCTCTGTTGCCCGGTCCCCAACCACCCCCCCCCCTCATCCCAGATCCCCAATTCCAATGTCAGAAACTCTTCACATGACTCTCTCATAAAAACAGATTACCGAGTTACCTTCTTATGTCAGAAAAGCCTTAAACATCGTTTTTGAATGTCAGTAGTTACTGCTGCCTGTCGTATGGTTCTTTCGTAGCGGGATATGTAATCCATCTTTATTGCTTTCGTGAGATGTGTAGTATTCATTACAAGATCGTCCCCTTATGTTCACTTATGATTGTTCAATATTATGCAAAAAGAAGTCTTCAAAACATTTTATCCCTTACTTATCAACATCTTTCTGAACTATTTATTAGTAAAGATAGAAATACAAACGAGTTTTTCATATCTATTCTCGATCAAAGATCACCAATTTGACAAGACAACATGCTGTTCCGACAAATGAAAAAAATCAGGATAGATAGTTTTTTTTCTAGTTTTAGTAAGAGTTTTACAGCACTTGCAACACAAAAAGGTCATATAAATACCGACGATTCGAGGTGTTACTAGAAAGTAACAAACACAAAATAGAAGGAAGAGAGATAAACAGATGTTTGATAGGAAAGAAGGAGCAAACGACACCAGAGCACCCGCCAACCACCCACAAAAAGATAGATAGGCAGACAGAAATAAACACTGAGAACGAACAGATGTAAGACCAACAATATTAATGAGATAACTTAACCCTATGCGTACTCCCTGAGGTCATAAAAATTTTGTACACCCAGGGTTGTATTCTTCACATTTTAGAATACTTCTAGTACGAAAATCTCTTTGAAACTTTCAGT